CTGTGTTCTTCTCAAGAACATACTTGGCGAGAAAACAACTCCGTATTCGCGTTTTTGTGAATTGGGAAACGGCCAACAATTCGCTCTCCAACTAAACACCTATAACTGTCACCACTACTCTGCGAAGATTCTCATTTTATCCGTTGCATATATTAGCTGTGACATATGAATCAATATGCTATGACCGAATAAATTTGATTGACAGATGACCGCTAATATATGATTGGCCAAATTTAAGTGTTCAGGCTGACGTATAACTAACTGGCCTGCATAAGATAACCAAAAAAAAAAAAAAAAAAGATTTTAAGACAGGATTTTTTTTTTTTTTAAACAGAAATTTTCTAAATTTGAGACAATATCGTCTGATAAAGAGTACATTTATATACATGTTTAGGCTTTGTTTTTCCCTTAATTTATTAATAGAAACAAAATTTTATGATAAACAATAAAAAAAATAAATGTCATGTTGAAATAAATTCGTTTTCCTTTTTTTTAACAATATGTCTAATTTTGCAGGAGCGGAGTGCTTTTACCAGCACGCTCACAACAGAGATTTAATCTGGGATTTTTTTTTAAGCTGATTCCAAACAGATTTTTATAATTAGCATCTGTAAAAGCATCTGTATAGTTTCTCACAGTTTCAGGAGGTATCAGGTTTTGGTTATTTTTACAAATTTAGCAGCATTACCCTCACTGAGATTCTGCAGATACTCCAGTTCATGTAAAACTCCAAAAAGACCAAACTGTTTTTAATTGACAGAGCAGCAGCCATCTACGTAGAACACACTGACTCAACACTCCCCAGAGGAGTCATCCATCAGACCAGCACCTCTACACACAGGTCACGCCGCTGAGGAGGTTGTGAATAAAACTCTAACCTGTCCTCCAGCAGCCTGGTGGTGCAGCCCTGGCAGTGGAAGCTGTACGTCTCTTTCGTTCGAAGAGTCTCCATCATGCTGGCAGGATCCTCTGTGGAGCGAACAAACAAACCAACGGGTCAGATTTGTTGTGATGGTGCTAACATTTCAGCACCGAGCAGAAAATCAATGATGGCGGATGGGGGTGTCTCATTCACAAGGTGGGGAATCAATCTGATTCTGATTGGACTGTCGCTGGTGGCCCATCGCTGGAACTTTCTCCTGCTTTGTTAGAGCGGCACAAATGTAACAAAATACTAAAAGATGAGTTCAGAAATGCCAGGCAGGAACTTCAGATAGTATACATCACTTCAGTTAACCTGTGCTCCATATTTGAGTTTCCTCAGGATCTATAAAGATGGGACCTAATAGTTAAAAATGCAGATGATGAAGTGTCGCTTTGCAAACATTACCTTGTTGGATTCGATCCATCTTTATTCGTAGCCTGAAATGCAGCTCCTCCTCACTGAATTGGACCACAGGTGTGTGAAGGCAGGACCCGCTCTCATAGGCGACCCCTGCTGGTAGCGACAAGCACAGATCTCCTCTTGGAGTCCGGACACACAGAGAGGAGTCTCCGCCTGAGAGGACAACATCTGCAGGACTTTTGGCCACATTTGTCCTACAGGGCAGAAGAAAGGACGACGTTTAGACCAGAACAGGGATAAGCAATCAGCAGCGCTGAAGTTTCTACGTTATTAGAGGAAATTAAACATGAAGTAAACCACTTAGGCCTTTTCTAATTTAACACAAACTTCAAGCTTAAAATTTAGATGGTTAATTCTGACTCTGTTTGCTGGACGATATTAAGATTTCGGATCATTCAACTGATATTTTAGCTTTTTATTCATCATTTTAGTTTTAATAATGATCAGAATCTTTATCAATGACTCATATCTTCCTTTTCCTCTGCCTCATTCTCATCCTCAGCAAAATATTCCCTTTGAAATTCCTCCATGCCAACCTTAGACATTTTAACAGGACATTTCTGTACAGTAATCCTTTGTTTCTCCTTTTTTTGTCCAGAATTTGCTTCTCTTTATCTTTTAGGTAAAATGGTCAAAATGATTTTCAGATCATTAAATATTATTTGGCTTTAACCTCTAATTTCTATAACTAGACACCAATACATCTGATCTTGGCCTTAACAAATTAACTATTATGTCAGCATGTTCGAAACTCCCTGTACTTATTGCTTAAAACACATATAAAATGAGACCAAGTGTAAATCTTATGCAGATGAATTACATGCCTGATTATTCACCAACTGCAACTCTCCATAGAATAATAAACACTGCTCCCTTTTAAATGGATGCAGAGAATATAAACAGGTTTGTAATTAGTTATGTTATTGCTGCAGCTATCACTGAGGCATCCAGCTGTTCTATGATGCACCCTTCAAGTATTTAATAACGACTCCCCACATTATGTTGAGCAAATAATGTTGTTTTTGTTTTTAAAACATTTACTTTGATTTTCTACATTTTCTTTGACCATTGAGAGTCACTGTTAATTTATTTTTTTTTTATGCCTCAATGGCACCATCTACTGGGATCTTTGTGTACTGCACACAGTCTGCCAATAAAGCCATTCTTCAAACAGCCACAAACTGTTTGGTTTGAAAAACTCTGGTTCTACCCAGACTCATTTTAACTTAGAAGCATCTCTGGAAAATTCTC